TTGCGTGCTAGTGTAGACCAATGGCATCTGCTTGTTCTAGGAAAACGAACAGCCTCAAACCAATCAGTCAGGATCTTGACAAAGAAGTCTGACCATCTCATAAGAGGGTGGCCACGCGATCTTTTGACGTCCCATGGAATCCATTCAGTAATGGCTCTAGTCCAGTAGTTGTCTCCAAAACTCATTACGTGTCCAGCCCTTCTGATTTTTGACGCCTTGGCAAATGAGACAGTGTCCCTGATTCTTGATCATCGACGAAGGTCGGAAGTCCAGATTCTTTCTCTCACTTGAGTGACGTGTGATACTCCAAGCATAGCTCTTTCAATTCCTCTTTGGGAGACCCGAATAGCATTCTCATCCTGTTTGCGTAGGGCCCAGGTCTCTGAGGCGTATGTCAATGCAGGAGGAACAGTGGAATCAAAGAGATGTGCCCGGAGCCGGAGGTTCTTCATCCTCTTAGCTATTTCTTAGATGCTCTTGAAGGCATTCCAAGCTGCTCTCTTCCTCCTGCACAACTCAGGTGCAGGTCATTCGTTATGTTGACTTCTCGACCTAGATACACATAATTGTTGCATTCGGAGATGTTCGTCCCGTTGAGAGCGAATGGAACGTCAGGAACAAGACTGTTTCTCATAAACATTGTCTCCGTGAGATTCAGCTGTAGTCCAACCTTTCCACACTCATGGTCAAATCGGCCAGCATTTGTGCCGCTTGGCTGATGTTTGGAGTTATTAGAATGATGTCATCAGCGAAGTGGAGGTGGTGTAGTTGCTGACTGTCTATCTTCACTCCTATTCCTTCCCATTTCAGTCATCGCATGATGTTCTCGAGGGTGGCACTGAAGAGTTTTGGTAAAATGGTATCACCCTGCTGAAACCCTCTCTTGACATGGATGATCACCTCCCTGTAGAATGGTGAGATCCTGATGGTGAATCCTTAATACAGCTCATGGAGGATCCTGATGTATTGAGTTTGAACGCCCTGTTTGGCTAGGGCTTCTATGATCACTTCAGTCTCAACAGAATCAAAGGCCTTCTTTAAATCAATGAACGTTAGACAGAGCAGCATCTTGAACTCCCGAGAAACCTCAATGAGCTTGGTTATCATGTGGATATGGTCGATGGTGCTGAATCCTTTTTGGAACCCTGCTTGCTCGCATGGTTGTCCTTCATCTAGTGTTCCGCCAATCCCATTCAGAATGACTCTAGTGAACAGCTTGTAGGTAACAGATAACAGGCAGATCGGGTGATAGTTGCCAATGTCGTGGATGTCTCCCTTCTCGTACAGTAGTACAGTCCTTCTGGTTTTCCATTGGGACGGAACTTTGCATTCAGACAGGTGGCATGTGAAGAGCCAAGCCAGTATATTGATGAGTACTGATGGCAAGTTCTTCAGGAATTCGGGTCTGACCTTGTCTTTGCCGGGTGCTGTTTGCTTCTTTATCGACGAAATGGCGTGTCGGATTTCGGAAGGGAGAACATTGGGAAGGACTTATCCATCCTGTGGAATTTGGAATATGGGCAGGTGGACATGGCCATCAAAGAGATCCAAGTGACCTTGGACTCCAGGCTCAACGGATCTGGAAACAGAGATTCTCTGCCTGCTCCCAGCAGCCAGGCAGACCTCTACTTCCTCCACCACCTCCATTACCCAGCCGCTGCCACGTTCCAGGATGCTTTCCGGACCACAGCCGCTTTGCAGCCGCACAACACATCATAAAACACTTAATACAAGATTACCACACCATGTTTGATGCGGTTCAAATACGGTTTGAACATTGGGAATATCTGCAAGGACGATTAGAGACTGCCCTAAAAGCCTCTATCCCTCTTGGGGAGTCTGGCCAGCTAATGAGAGTGTCCCGCCCACATGGCAGAGCCTGGCAAACTATCTGCGGTGTATTAGATATGCTAAAACCAGCAAATACAATGGGTCGCATTTCCCCTGATCCTGAAAGAGCCACACACACATACACACACAAAATTCTTTTCATTCAGTGAAAGTCTCATAAATGAGAATACTGCTTCATTGGTTTGAGCTGCTAATTTTCATTTCCTGAGGAAATGCAACCTGTCATTGGAAGAAATAACCCCTTGTTCAAATGATAAAAGGCCAATGACAATGCCATGGTAGTGGTTTTATGTTATTTTTTTTTTTTGCTCATGTTAGAAAAGTAGCTGGATAAAAGTCAAATTTTCTCCATATTTTTATAGCTCTTTTTTCCCAAAAGAGAATTGGATATTCTCATCTACTTTTGAAAGAATGATTCATCTGATTGGGACTTCAAAATCACAATCTAATTCTGATACTGGCGGGCTTCTGCAGAGTAGAACACCCCAGTTTTGAACAATAAGGTGCCGTCGCTCCACCATCCCTTTTTCTGTTATTCAGGACTAGGGTAGGAAGGAGGGTAAAAGGAATAGTAAGACAATGCTTGGGGATGGGGCAGGGTGGGGGGAGGCGGTAGTGACTTTGGCCTAACTCCCATGGATTTTTGTGGTTCTGGGTCACCCACACCATTGGGCAAGGAGATAGGAGAGGGAAACTTCAGAAAGATCTTGGAGGGTGGGACCCAATGGTGGTGAGTATTTAATGACTCTCAGCTAGTGTGGCATTCCAAAGGTCTTTGTATTTTTATTTGTCTTTTTTCTGCCCACCATAAGCGTTGATTTGTGGGATTCTGATATGTCTCGTACTTTAACTCCACTGAGTATTGTAGCACATGATGAAAGCTCACATATTTTTTTTGTGAACAACTTTTTATTATTTATTTATTTATTATTAGTGAAACACCATGAGGTACAGTTATAGACTTACAAATTTTTGTGCTTGGGTTTCAGTTATACAATGATCGAGTACCCATCCCTCCACCAGCGCCCATCCTCCACCACCATGGGTCCCAGCATCCCTCCCACCCCCATCCCCCCCATCCCACCCTGCCTCTGTGGCAGGGCATTTCCCCTTGTGTTCTCTCTCTCCTTTTGGGTGCTGTGGTTTGCAAGAGAGGCATTGAGTGGCAATCATGTTCGGTCTATAGCCTACTTTCAGCATGCTTCTCCCATCCTGGGAGGATTCTCCCAACACCCTTTATTTGGTGCTTTCTTCTCTATCTAAGTTCACATATTTTTTAATGTAGGAGTACGCTATTTATTCAGCCATTGATTTAGCTCATTGAATTGGGCATCAACTCCACATTACTTTAAAAAAATTATTTTCTAAATTGGATATCTGTGAGATAGACCATTACACAGCTGTTCATAATTGGTTTTCAGTCATACAATGATCCAGCCCCCATCCCCCCAATGCACATTTCCCACCACCAATGTTCCCCATTTCCCTATCACCACCCCCCAATCCCACTACTCCCCACTGCCAGCCTCCCTCAATGGGAGGCACTTTCCTTCTTGCTCTCTCTCTCCTTTTCCTTTTGTGCATTGTGGCTTACAATAAAGGTGCCAAGAGGTCATGGTGTTTGTTCAGGGCATTCGGTATTTCTATTGGGATGGTAAGGCTAGAGTAGCTTTCCAGTTAGGTGGCAGCTTTGGGGTGTGGATATGACTGTCAAGGCTTTCGGAACTACAGGGAGGTGGGAGGAGGTAGACCATCCCAACCCTAAGAGAGCCTGGAGATTTCAGTCACAAAACCCACATACCAGAATTTTCAGCAGATTGTATCTTGGTGAGGTCTGTCCTGAGACCGTGGAGTCAGGCCAGGGTATGGCAGTGATTTTGGAGTGTGGAAGTAAGTGGCTGAGGGGGGTGGCACTTTGCTTGGGCGGGTCACCAGGCCAACCCGCCCCCCTCCAATTTACCCGTCTGTTCAGCCATGCATGAGTCCGATGGCTTTTGATCTCTTTCGAGATTATCTATGGGTCTCTGAAGTAAAGCAAATAAATGAGCTTGTGTAGCTGAGCCGGAGGTGGTTTGTGGGCATGGCTCTCACATACCTAACTTTTGGCCATTTGATTTCTTGGTAAACTTGATCCCAAGTTGTTGGGGTCTGGCCATAGGCACAGCAGCAATTTGGGGGCATCAGGAAACCTGAAGGCACCATCAGGCTGCTGATGCACTCGCCCTGCAGGTACAGGTTGACCTGTTGGTGGCACCATAGCCCTGGAACCTCACTTTTGAATCCAGCTCTATTGACTTCTCACCTTTGGTATCCAAGCTGCACAAAGCAGCCTCTTGTCTCAGAGAAATAAAAATTTTAAATCTGACATCATCAAAAAAAAGGTTACTAATGTCTGGAACAAAGGATAAATTTCAGGAGTAATCACTGGGCAAGAATTGGACTTGTATTGAGGTTCTTCTTCCATTGTGTAAATTTTGTGATCTGCTTCTTTTTCCTCCGCTTAATTTTGTCAGACTTAGTTTTATCAGACCAGAGAAATTGTATGGGAGGGAAGGCACATAACTTGTATGTCCTTGGTGCTGTTTTGATCCCTGACATCACAAATGGTCCCCGAGCACCACCAGGAGTCACTTTTGAGCACCACTGGGTTAGAAAAAGAAATTCCGCCTTTCTGACTTAGGTTGCAAGTCTTTATTGTTGCATATGGGTCTGCAATGAATATTGAAGTTCATTTCTGATACAAATTTTATGTATTCTCTGTAGATGCTTTATATGTTTAATCATGGATAATGAGACTGATGTTGTAATCTGAACTGTTATGTTTAGGCTGAGATTTTTCTCTCTCCTTCTTTTTCTTTCTTTAACAGTTATTGAAAATCGTGTCAGGACCTGGGTTAACAGGTCCTGTGAGCAACAACAAAAGGAGTGGTGTTTGCTTTCAGATACATGCAATCCTAATGGGAAGCTCAAAGGAAATAGTAACCACATGGTGTGATCTCATATTGTGGGTAGCCGGGAGGATTTTGCCCTGAACCTCACCAAGGCCTTTGCCTGCCCAACTCCCGAATGTGGATGGGAACAATTAGAATGACTGTGTAGATGTGGATGAATTAATAGATTCTGTACTTACTTTTCTTCATATGTGCAGGATGGAGATGTCTGCCCAGAGGCTGATTTCTAACAGAACGTCTCAGCAATCTACATCTAATTCTGATTACACCTGGGAATATGAGTATTATGAGATCGGACCAGTTTCCTTTGAAGGATTGAAAGCTCATAAGTGTAAGTCTTCTATATCCTCACGTTATAAATATAATGTGCAACTATCTTAGCCTGTAAAGCCTAGTGGTTATTTCTCCTGAATGTTCTACTTCTTTTTTTAAAAACAGAACTCTGTATTTTGGCCCTGGAAAACATCTCCTCTGAACATGTTTGCATGTGCAGTGGTGCTATTACAGGAGTGATTTGGTGATTTGAATGACAAAGAACTTGAGAGGCTAATCTTAGTGGAGGTGCAGGAATTTTCAAATGGAGATTTTTTCTTCTTCTTGGTCTTTGGGTCATATGCTTGTTGCTTGTGGCTATTTCTGGCTCTGTGCTCAAGGATCACTCCAGGCATTGCTCAGGGAACCATATCTAATTGGGTTAGCCTCTTTTAAGAGAAGCTTAAGACAAGCTCCTTATCCCTGTACTATGTCTCTGGCCCTAAGTTTTTAAGAAAGAAAGAAAGAAAGAAAGAAAGAAAGAAAGAAAGAAAGAAAGAAAGAGAGAGAGAGAGAGAGAAAGAAAGAAAGAAAGAAAGAAAGAAAGAAAGAAAGAAAGAAAGAAAGAAAGAAGATTTTAACAATTCCAACCATCTCCAAACGGAATATTTGAAGGATCAAAACTTGGAGTTGTTATTTGAAGAACTTTCTTTTACTACATAGTCAGAGGTGTCCTTTCAGCCCATTGCTTTAGACTGTGGAGAACTTTCTGTATGTTTATAATGCCAATCCTTAGTTCTGCTCTAGACGTGACCTTTCATATTATTGCAGTGATTGATCATCCAGTACAGAAGATGAAGATGGAATTCGGTGGAAATCTTACTAACTGGCCTACTCCTGTTACAGCCAGATGATGAATCACCCTCACTAAGCATGTTCCTTGTTTTAAGTAGAGATGACAGATAAGCAGGACCTGCTGCCCATTCCCAGGACTTATTGTGGTCATTACACCATAAATACTCCATCGACGTTTGTTGTTTCAGAATAAATAGTGCTGAGCTACCAAACTGTTAGGTACTTAACTGATTAAGATTAATGGGAGAAATTAGAATCAGAGATTCAGTGTGGTAAAGGAAATAAGTTTCACCCTTCTAGTATTTCCTGCCTGTTGCTGGCTCACCTGACATGAGTCTCCTTATACTTCACACCTACTTGTGCTTTTTCAAGAAGAACTTTCTAATTTTTTTTTACCTTTTAGATATCATTATAAAATTTAAATATTTTGAAGTGTCCTATGTGATCATTTGCTGTATATAAATATTGTGAAAGAATCCTTCCTACCAAGATAATATATTTATGCATTTCCTTTTCTAGGTTTTTGGGTAATATTTAAGCTCTGCTGTCTTGAAAATTTCAATTTTACAGTATAATATGAACAAGTATACTCACTGAGGGATTCTTCAATTCTCAGATCTATTTCATCTTATTAGCTGAAAGTTTAGGCCCTTTGACCAATTCCTATTATTTCCCCCCTCCCCAAATCTCCATCTTACTGTTTCCTTGAATGTAACTTTTGGGTTTGTTTGTTTTTTTTTTAAAGATTTCTATATAAAAGTGCAATCTATTTTTATCTTTGCTGGGCTTATTATACTTAGAATGTATGCTAATTCATACATGTTATAATAAATGACAGAATTAATTGTTTGAAGGCTGACTAATATTCTTTGTAAATATTAATATTCTTTGTAAATATATATACATACATGTTTTTGTTGGGCTGGAGCAATAGCACAGCGGGTAGGGTGTTTGTCTTGCACGCAGCCGACCCAGGTTCAATTCCTCCACCCCTCTTGGAGAACCCGGCAAGCTACTGAGAGTATTCTGCCTACACGGCAAAGTCTGGCAAGCTACCAGTGATGTATTTGATATGCCAAAAACAGTAACAAGTCTCACGATGGAAATGTTACTGGTGCCTGCTCGAGCAAATCGATGAACAATGGGATGACAATGCTATAGTGCTATTATTACTTAGAAGTAACCTCTAGAGTTTTCCTTAGTGTAATTTGGCAGTTACCTACCGTATGCACACCAGGGAGATGACATTCTCTTCCTCTGACTTTCAGTTTTGCTATTGACATGCCAATGGTAGTATTTTCCTCCTTTAGGGGCACTTATTTTACAGTTCTTTAAAACATTTTTTTCTCATTTTTTTCTATAATACTGTCTTCTTGCATAGTATAAGCTTGTTTTATTTCATTGGGTTTGATGGTTTTAAAAAATCAATTCTAGATTATCTTCAGACTCTAAAAAATGTGTATGTTACTCATTTTGCGATTGATTTTAGGTTTTTTTTTTACTTGAAGCCAGTTGTAATTTTTTTTTATAATTTATTTATTTATTGAATCACTGTGGGAAAAGTTACAGATCTTTCAGGTTTAGGTCTCAGTCATGTAAATATCAAACACATTTCCCTTTACCAATACTTATTTTTAACCGCGAACCCCAATAGAACCCCATCTCCCACCCCTCCCAATTCCTGTGAGGCAGATGAGTTCTAGTTAACACTCTATCTACTTTGACTAGATTCATTGTTTCGGTAAAAGATGCACCATTATTATTTAGAGTTTACGACACCCCCCCCCCCAAATCAGACATGCTGAAAAAGCGTTGTGAAATGATTTGCTTTCTACAGCTGGGTTTGGATTTCTGCTATTTTACTTATTAACCCTGGAAGAATTTCTATTAAAAGTTAGATAGTTAAGAGATTGGTTTCTGTGCTCTGGAGTCGTGGCCATGCTGGAGAGCCGCTCGTGGGGGGCAGCTGGCGATCTCGGTCGGGCATGAAGGACGGCCCATTACGCCCCCCTTCCCATGAGGCCCCTGCCGCCCCCCAGCCGCGGCTCAAACCTGCTGTCCACAAGGCTCCCGTGCGGCCGCCATCTTTCTTTTCAGAGAGCGGATTTTAGGTTCTTAATTTTAAAAACAATGGACATTTGACATTATATTAGGTTGGGTATACAACATAAATGATTCACAATTTCTATATATTGCAAAATGATTATCACAGTAATTCTAGCTAAGTTAATTACTGTACATAATTACAAAGGCTTTTTTGGGTACATACCCTCTTAGCAATGTTCAATTATATAATATATAGCATTGTTAACTGTAGCCACGATGCTATGCATTTGGCACACTTAAAATTCTTTTTACTTGTACTTTTTGACTTTTTGACTTTCCCCCCTTGTATTAGTCATGATGGTTTACAAAGTTGTTCATAGTAAAGTTTCAGGCACACAGTGTCCAACATAAATCCCAACTTTCCTCCACCAATGTCCCAGTTTCCCTCCTACCCCTAGCCTATCTCCTTGACAAGCATAATTGTAATTTTAGTTATTGTAATTTGGACTTCATACTACACTGGAGCACAGCAGGTAGGGTGTCTGCCTTGCACACGGCCAACTCAGGCTCGCTTCCTCCGTCACTCTCAGAGAGCCCGGCAAGCTACCAAGAGTATCTCGCCTGCACGGCAAAGCCTGGCAAGCTACTTGTGACATATTCGAGATGCCAAAAATAGTAACAAGAAGTCTCACAATGGAGATTTTATTGGTGCTCGCTCGAGCAAAATTGATGTACAACGGGAGGACAGTGCTACAGTGCTACTTACAGTGTGATTGGTTATGTAGTTTGTCTAATAATATATACCTCACCTCTACTCCACCTATGTTCCCAAGGCCCCTGACTTTGAGCCCTGCCTCCGTTACCTCCCTTCCACCTCTTCTTACTTCCCCCTCTTAATTTCTCTCCTTCCCTTCTTATTTCTTTCACCCATTTGTCAATGGATGCTTCCAGTGCTCTCTCCTCTGGGTGTTGTGTATTCACGAATCACGAATCACGACCATCCTGTTACTCGTCGATTGCCTCGAGCAGGCCCCACTAACATCTCCTTCATCCTAGCCCTGAGATTTTTAAGAAAGTGCCATATTCAAGGCTCTTTCAGGGTTAGGAGAATGAGACCCTTCATTGTTACTGGTATTTGGCATATTGGGTATGCCACGGGGAGTTTGCCAGACTCTGCCGTGTGGGCAGGTTACATTCGGTAGCCTGCCAGTTTGTCCAAAGTAGGAATGAGATAATAAGATGTCATAATAAGATGGTTCTGGGAGCTGGGTTTTATAGTCTCTGAGTCTTGGCCATCGATGGGATTACACAGCGCCAGCCAGGGGGCCGGTTGGTGGGTGTGACCCCTGCCTACTGGAATTTGGAGGATCTGGGTGGAGGATGCTCAGCCTGGGGCTGGGTGTTGTGTATTATGCTGCAGTAAATGTGGGAGGGCAGTGATCCTTTCAAGATCACAGATCACCTCCTCTGGACATATATCCAGAGTGTGAGTTCTGGGTCACAGGGCATCTCTACTCTTAATTCACTGAGAACCGTCCATGCTGTTTGCCACAGTGGCTATGTCACTTTATGTCCCCACCAACAGTGTTCAGGCTCCTCTTCCCCCCACTTCCTGCCTTTTGTTATGTCTGGTATTTTTTTTTATAATAAGCCTTCTAACAGATGTGAGATGATATCTTCACTTTCCTAATGATTAGGGATATTGGAAACCTTACCTTATACCTGTTGGCCATTTGTTGTGGGTCCACACTTACAATGCTGACTCTTTTCTCAGGAGTCCCTCCTGGCAGTGTAGGGGACAGAACCAGAATCAGCCGAATGACGACAAGTCAAGCACCTGGAACCCCTGTCCTATCTGGTCCCTTTTTGGCTACTTGGACATTTTTATTTGGAAATATGTGTATTAAGATTCTCTGTCAACTTGTGGATTTGCTTTTGCTCTCTAGTTAAATTAAGTTCTTGCTTACTTTGATTAGAAACTTCCTAACAGATTTGCAAATATTCTTTTTGGGTCACACCGGCAATGTACAGGGTTACTCCTGGCTTTGCACTCAGGAATTACTCCTTGTGGTGCTCAGGGGATCATCTGGGATGCTGGGAATCAAACCCGGGTCGGCCACATGCAAGGCAAACGCCCTACCTGCTGCACTATTGCTCCAGCCCCTATTCTTTACCAGT